AGAATCTCTGGACAACTCACACGACAGGTTTCCAACATTTTGTTTTCGTGTTGCATCAGTACAGTCCTCAGAACTTTAGATAATTTATTGTAGTCATCACTTCTGCCTGAGGAAAGTTAGCTGCATCACCTGCAGAAGCAACCTGGCCTGTGGATCTCAGAAACTTTCTTGTAATTTCTTATAGTGAAATAGATTTTTAAGAAAGGTTGGAACTTCAGCAAAACCAATCCCTTCTTTGAAAATATTCATCAATGAAGGGTTCATGCCAGCTCTGAAAAAAGCCATACTTCTTGTGTGCAGTGTGGAAGAATGGGAACAGCAGCTGGCAGTGATGCAAGCGTGAGGCACTGGGAAGGCCTTGCAACCGTCTCAGACGTATCTAGGCAATATCCAACTCTGCTGGTAAATCTTCTGCTGTATTGAATTTCCAGACTCTGATCCAGGAAGGAAAATATCTGAAGACTGAGGACTAAAGGATGTCATTCTGGTATTTTCAAATGCTACATATTTTGAATGTTTCACAGTGTTAGGAAGTGTGATAAACCGACACTCCTGTCACTGTTGTTTAGCTGTAACACAACACTTAAAAACATAGGTTTTACATAAAAACATTAGTCTGACCATCTCCTTGGTCAGACTAACTGGACTTTACTGGTCCATGTAGCCCAGTGCTTTCTGTCTCTCTGTGGAGCAAAGAGATGCTTTTTAGGGAGACCACACCAGCCCGTCCACTTGCTGAAAGCCATGCCCTTGTATGCCTTCAGCAGCCACAGTTGCTTCATTGGGGATATCAGTGCATACGTCCCTGCCTACTCCTTTAAAAATCTGACCAATATTTGATTTCCTTTTTCTTTCCTTATGTCTTTGAGATGCAGACATCAGAACTGCAATATTGTACTTAAGATGTGGGCAAAACAAGGATTCATGTAGCAGCAAACTGATACTTTTCAGGTGGTTCTCTTATTTAAAAAAAAAAAAAAAAAACAAACAACTTTGCATCTTATCTCCCTTTATATTCCATTTCAAAATCAGTCCTAGAAAAGCAGTTATTTGCACAGCTTTTTTTTTCCTTTGATTCAGATACAGGAAGAAGTAAAAACGCACTTCAGGTGCAGTAATGATTTACTCAGATTGAATTAGACAGCAGCTATGCCTCTTGTATCATAGCCCCTTACATCAGTAATTGGCAGGAGGAGATGAAATAGCAGCTGTTCTTGAAGTGTCTGATTCCTTGAGTGGTAGTGGTGAGATGTCTTCTGTCTCACTATTTGCCTTCAAGACATGCATCTGACAAGGTGTCTGAAAAATAAGAGATGCTGTTTGGTGAAAGTATCCCATGTAAACAGGAAATTTACTTTTATGGCTGTTTTGTGGTGTTGCAGTAGCATCCAGCTCTCATGGCAAAGAACTGGACTCTGGACAATTAAAGCTGTAAGTCATCCCTGTTTGCACAGTCGCTCTTGATGGGGGTGAGGATCAATAATCTCTCTGATCAAGGTATAAATAAGATACTAGAAAGGGCTTGTTGCCCTCAGTTACTGAGAAATCTGTCTGAATTATAAAAACAAAACAACAACAACACAAATGTTTAATTAAAAGATTTATTCCATCTCGTAGCCAGAGAAGCTTGAAGCAGGCTATCTGAACGAGTGAAAGCCTGTTAAGACCAGTTTGTTCAGAGTACCACTCACAAAAACACTGGTAGAGGAATTATTTTGGGAACTGCTTTTTAAAGAGGAAAAAAAAAAATCCCATTTATTCTTACTAATGCAGGGCCTGTTGTTTAACAGCTTCTGAAAAATGTTTAACCCTTTCACAGAGGTAACATATATCTTATTGTCATGGTTGTTTTATTTTTCCTTTACCATTGCTAAAGGAAAGCAATTTAAATGGAAAACTTTACTAAGTAGGATTAAATAGGACTTCATCTCAATCCAGTCATCCTTCTATATGTATTGCCTGTGCCTAAAACTTCATTCGAATTCACCAGCAGTCCCTAGGTTTATTCTGGAGATCCACAATCTCTGGAGTCTGATTTCCTCATCATTAGATGCTAGAGTAAAATCAGGTTTGTTTATTCCTCCAGTCTTCTGTAAAATATCTTTCCCATTTCTTCTTCAAACAGAACATGAGAAAAAAAAATATTCTTAATTTGAAGTTTTGTGATTTTTCTTAATCCTGAGCTATTGACGTAAGCTTGTTTGTCTTGTAATAATCTTGATTTCTCAGGGAAGTAAGTTTTTGTTGGGCTTATACTTTAATCTTTCTGAAGACCTCAGTGTGGTATCTTCTGTCTGCAGCACAGTTCTGTCTGCTCCGCCAGCACCAGTTTTGGAACAGCATCTCCTTTCGATGTTCACATGAGGTCTAAATGGAAGGGCTTGGTATAATGCACAAAGTCATTATGTTCTGATTCTTTGAAAGCCTTTGTATTCCCTCTCTGCCTCAGTTTCACAGTCTTTAAGACTAAGGATCTTAAAACTTCATGCTAATTCATAATTAAAACATCTTCTGCCAGGCATTTTCATTGCATACTTTGGACTTTAACACCAATAGGTGGACTGTGTGACGGAGAATCTCTTATAACCAAAACAGGGAAAATACCCCTTTTGTACTCTAGGAATACAAAACCTGCCCTAGAAACCAACACCACTGAGGAAAAGAGAGAGTCTGGAGGACAAAATTTACTATCCTGTGCAGACAATGAATTATATTAGACACATCCACCTTATGCTTTGAAGACTTAAAGAAATGACTCACTGCCAAACTTATGAACATGTAGAGCCAACCCTGTCTTATTCAATGGTCTGGAAGGCTACGACAGCATAGAATAACAAATATGTTTCTACCTTCTCTTGCCATCATGCAGGAAGGCTTCTGCTCCTCTTCTGTTCCTTGATCCATCGCAGCATCCTGGCATGCTCATGTCATTACCCCTAGCACAAGGCGTCCTTCCTTCTGCAGTCATGTAGAAAAATTCCTGGTACATCTAAAACCTAGAAAAACTTTCAGCCTCAAAGGGACTGCTTTGTCTAGTATAATAAATCCCTGCAATAAGCAGAAAGACATTTGTTTTTCTCATCGAAGTGCTGTATTTTTCAGGTATTTGATTTACTTTTGTCATTGGTATGGCTAAAAACGTACTACTTCATATTCACTAATCCTTTGACTACTCTCCTGCTTTCCCTTCCAGAAAATGTAGGTCGTACATATTGTGAGCCTTCTTATTACTTTCCATCTTCCACCTAATGTCTGTGTTTGAACACACTTCGTACTTTATTCTAGCATTTTTCAGGGTTCTCCTTATTTTTTATGGTTTATTCTATATTCCTTCTGTGATATCTGTCCCTTTCACCTTTAAGAGTAGGTGCTTTCTGATTTTTATTTTTTTTATTTTTTCCTGAACTCTCACCAGTCCATATTCCCCTTTTACACAAGTTGACTGCCCGGCGAAGACATGAGGGAGTGTTCGTATCAGTTCAAGGCTGCTTTCTGGTGAACAGAGATCAGGGCATTTCTCCATTAAATAAAGTCTGGCTTCACTTCCAAATTCTTGATGCTAATCCAGAAGACTGATCCTTGTTTCTCTTCTTACTTTCCAAAGATAGAGGTTCCACATGGTGATATTAATCACGGCTATCTTTGTCTCTCAGGGTTTAAGGTATGTCTCCATTCTGTCTACACGGATTCCAGTTATGATTCCACAAATACAGATCAGTGATTCACTGAGATTTTTCTGCAGCAACATTTTCTTTGAAAGGATGTTCAAAGTTTTACTTGAAAAAACAGTGGTACAGCCTGGCTGAATAAATCTGTAGATATTTCATTATCTTTGGTCCTACAATAGTCCTTCCAATGACTACTATACACAGGGTGTTTTTTTTGTTTGTTTGTGTTTTTTTGTTTTGTTTTGTGGTGTTTTTTTTTTTGTTTTTTTTTTTTTTCTGTTATGTGTTCACAATTGTAACTTTTTTTTTCTGATGCTATTTATTTATTCAAGTTAATTCCTCCTGCTGTGTTTTTCCCAGCTTGCAGGATAGAACGTACTGAGAATAGAGAAAGATCATACTTAATTTACAGCTCTGGATCTAGTCTTATATATTTAAAGTCTATGTAGAACTTCAGGTAGGGACATGAGAAATCAAAAGTTTAAGACAGGAAATTCAAAGTAGTAACTAAAATTGCCACATTCTTTTCTCTGATCAGTGTAAAAACAAATGAAGAAACTACTCACTGAGGACCCAAGCGTTAAGACCACGGAAAGTATTTTAAGGTAGCACCGGATGAAAAATTTCCAGAATAAGCGGAAACTGAGGTGGTATTAAATTACCAACTGTGCCACCAACTTATCACTATTTCACTTCAATACATAAGTAATTACTGTAGTGTCTTCACCTTGGAACAACTCTTTTTGAGGCAAAAATCCAAAAGAATTCCCATGTCCATTCAAGCATTTGTCTATCTTTTGGTATTGCCAAAATGTCTCACAGTAATGCAGTGGAGATGATTTGTTTCCTGAAAATTGGGCTGGGAATGTAAATGAGTTGATCCAAGTCTCAGCATCAGCTCCACATTTCATAATTCTGATTTCCAGTATGATTTGAAAATGTTATTGTAACTGTTTCAGCTCCCTCTTTCCTATCATAGTGGTAGAAAATCTGTGAAAGAATGGACCCTTTAAATATCTCAAGATGTATACAAGAATACTACTTTTAATTAACATGGCAAGCTTTTCTTGAAGTAGCCGAGTGCTTAACAAACCCCGAAAAGGACCACTGCCTCGCTGTGATGCGTGGTAGAACCAGCCTTACAGACTGGTGAACTCAAGCATGACAAGTTAAACAAACCAATGCCAAAGTAAGCCACAGCCAGAAACAAACCAAAGCCAGAAAACAAGTTACATTCAGATGGTGAAAACAAATTCTAGAAATATGAACTCTCAATCTGTCTGTATGGTAATTACTTGTAACATGCTTTTTTTTTTTTACTTCCTTCAATAGCAATATTTGCAGCAGTGATTTGAGTTGGTGTGAATTCACTCCAGTCTAGCAGAACTAAAAGCAAAAAGTGGACTTCTTGGAGGTGCTGTGCCTCGTGGTGAGTCGGGTGACTTCAGCCTACTTACGTGGTTTGTGTGGACTGGCCTAGAAAGGTTTGTGCCTTTTGGGATATGTCATGAGGAGAGCTCCTGCTATTCTCTCTCTCTTTTTTTTTTTTTTTTTTTTTTTTTTCTCTGAGTTACCTACAAAACGATCAAGAACATTGTGGCCTTTGCCATCAGGTGTTGTCTGAATATTATTTACTGCATGCACCTTTTACAGTTTAAAGCTTGTTTGTTGTTGTTGTTTCTTTTGCTGTTTTTTCCATCTATGATGAAGTGTGCAGTCTGCCTTCTTATACGTGTGTAGCCAGTAGGTGGCTACACAGTGCAGCAACAAGGTGTTGCATGCTGCTTTCCTATTATAATAAACTTGCACTGAGGAGGTGTGTTTCCTCGTCACCAGTGATGTGTCTATACAGATTAGAGGAAAAAGGCAGCCTTATGAAAGGTGTTTTGACTGTGGAGATGCATTTGCAGATGAAACATTTTGAAATCACTGCTCCGTGTGTTCCACAGCTAATTGTCTCATTTTCTGTATCAATTTATTTTAATTAGGACAGCCAAACTTTTTAATTACAAAAGATTTACAAGATTTTGCCATATTTGAGTCTATAAATCTGTGTGTGTGTTTGAGGCTTCTGTTACATGAATTCATAAAGCAAACCCGTTTGAAAACAGATGATGTTTGCAATAATTTCTTCAGCCTTCAGGTGTTATTTCCGAACAAATTAAATAATATGTCTTACTCTGCATTGTGGTAGATACCTCTGACTGCTAAAAGTACACTGGATCCAAGATGACTTGTGGATGAGTTAGAAATTATGAAAGTTTTTATCACCTTGATGGAAGAGCGATATCAAGGCTGACAAGTGTTTTGGCTGTGGTATCCTTATGCATCGTTCCTCCTCCACTTATCACTGATCTTCAGAGCTCCTTGCCAAGCTCTCAGCTCCACTGTTAATTTCAGGAAAATGCTGTCACAGGTTACTGAATGTCAAGGCAGGAAAAACATTCTTTCCACTCCTTGTTTCTGTTTCTATCTTTCCTTGTCATTTCTCCAATACAGTGTCTGCTCCCAGTTGCACCATCTCTACTAATGGTATAGCTCATCCTATGCAGAAAGCCCATATGATTTATTTTTCTACAGGCTAGACAAATGGGGTAAGGAGCATGTGCTCATATTTTAATATCTTAACTAGGTCCTCGAGCACTTATGCAGAATACTGAAGTGTTCCCTTGGTTTTACTTCTTTACTAATCAGATTATAAACTGTTTGAGGGTGGCATTTCTAACTTCTCTCATTTATTTTGAATTGTTTTATTTTTATTTTGTTTAAGGGATTCCCCCTTAGATCCTTATATTTTATGTTACTTCTCAGTCTTCATTCTCATCTTCTGCTTCAGAATTCATGTTAACACATAAATCTAGGTAAAGTATACAAACGAATGATAGAAACCAACTGTTTCTCTTTTACATAAGGCAGACTTCTTAGCTAGAAGGTAGATTAACCACTGAGTCTTGTCAGTATTATTAAGTGTTTCAGATTTCCCTGTTCTACTGCAGATCTCAGACTGTGCTCCTGGCTATAATCTCTATAGCCCTGTCATCCTGGGACTAGAATAACAATTTCTAGGAAATTATGGTAAGGTCATCCTAGAAAGAGAAATAATGTTATTTTTTATTTTTTATCAAAACTAGACTCAAAACTAGTCATCACTGGAGGTAATGTAATGCAATGCAAAAATCCTGTTTCATTGTGTTCCTGTGAAATTGTAGAAGAACTGTTCAATCATAGAATGGCCTGGGTTGGAAGGGACCTTAAAGATCATCTCACTCTGACCAAGAATGATATTTCTGTGTAAGCAAATGGTTCTTGGGTTTGAAAGAGTCTTTCAACAATTTTGATTGCCAGCTGGTATTTACCTAGAATGTTATGAAATAGGTAGCAGTTTTCCCCAGGAACTGTATGTATGATTAATTCTCAAAAATGGGATTATAATCCTTTATAAAATTTCCATCTGGGAAAGATCATCAATGCAAGAGGAAGGAATGTCTACCAACAGATTGCATCCCCCAGTGCTAACTGTACCTCTTGGCTTCACGTTGCACTTTGGGCTCGAGGGGACTTTGGACCTGTGTGTGACAGTCCTACTGCTTGCTGCTCCTCTGGGAGTCTGCTGGAAGAGTGCTTTAACTGCAGTTTGAAATGGCAATCCACTCAAAAATCGTTCCTGAGAAAGACTGAAAGTGGCTTTTCTCATGATATTTGTGCCTCACAGCAGTAGCTGGCTGATAACTCCTACATGGAGAAACCTGCAAACGTGGAAAAGTTTGTTTATTTATTATAGAATAAACAAAGTGATGTCAGTACAGGTCCATCACATTGTGTCCAAATATCAAAACCAATATGACATTCACAAAGTGTTAGAACCTCAGAGTGCTTGTTCAGGGGACAGATGTTCTCAGATTGTGGTGGAACAGAATCCTTGAAATTGAAGCTTGGTAAAAGTCAGGTTGCCCACAAACTTGGGGAAAAAAATGGAGGGAAAAAAACAAAACAAAACACAACATTCTTCCTTTAGCCTGGCCTTTGAGCAAAAACCTTATTTAAAAACAAACAAACAAACAAAAAAAAAACATTGAGGGGAAAAATTCTCCTTACATTTCTGCAAACCTGATTTAGACACATTACTCTGCACTTACAGGTAGGGGATGGTGCATAGAGATCTCTATATTCATGATTTATTTAAATTTGGTCATTAATTCATTGGCAAAGAACAATAGAGTGTATTAAACTCTTTTCCTGGAGTTCAGACACAAACATACATCCCATGGGACACTGTTATTTATCCATAGGTTAGAACAATTTTGTTCTAGTTTGATAACTGTGGAATCAATGAAAAATGCAGCTTGCAGGATCACAGGCTAAAGAGGTTATATGCTTTCCCAAGATCATTTCCTTTTCTGTTTTTTTTTTTTTTTTTTTTTTTTTTTTTTTAAATGTGCTACTACAATTTATTTAGTTTTGTCTAAGTTCCAGAGGCTATATTTATCCTTTGCTTCTCATATTTGTGTATTCGTGTTGTTTTCAGGAAAGTTTATATACTTCTAAAATTGATGTTTTGGGTGCGTTTGTTAGTCTTTTGTCAAGCAGTTACATGGGAACATCTTGCCCTCTAGTGGTAAAGAAAAGCAAGACTAGATTCAGACTAAAATCTGATTAAAAAGGAATTAAAACCAATATGCAGCATTTACACAGTGAAAAATCAACTGCACAGAGCATCACCCTGGGTGCGAGCTATGCTTCAAGGGTCAGTGAGCCAGCAGAATTAATGAGTTTTGAAAATGTTCTTATATACAAGTGATTATTTCATGCACGTAATGAAAAGTGCTCTAAAGTCTCCAAGCTAAGTGTTTGAATATTAATAATAATTTGGGTAAAGTCTTCTTTGTTGTAAAACAAAGAGGCTAATCATAACAAATGCCCTTTAACCTATTCTGGAAAGCCAACAAGCATACTACATCACTATTGTAATCAGGCTTTAGATGGGAAAAAGAAAAGTTTAAAAAATTCTAGCCAAGAGACTTTTAAAAGGTGCTTTTGAAAAGCCTTACTCTCTGAGATTAATGTGTTCAATACAAATATTTTTAATTCTGCTGGCCAAATTCAGGGCTCAGCTGATTTATGCTACAGTCAGACTTATTTCTTGGCATTTGTCTATTTGCAGTCAGAGAGGCTGTAGAGAAGCTCCAGGATTGATGACATGTTGTTTTGCCACTGATGACACTTCTGGCTTCCAAAGCACATGAGGTTCCCTTTTGCTTATTCCAAAATATTTTCAGGTTTGAACAAGCCAGAAATGGGCTGCAGAGCTGCTGGCCAGCTGCCTCCCACCCAAGCCCTCCTCATGGCCATGTCAGCATGGGGAGAGGTGGCAGTGTTTGTGCACAGCTGAGCATAGCCAAGGTGTAAAGGTGCTGGGGGCTCCTGAGCCCCACCAAGGGCGAAGGTGGGCCCTGGCAATGGAGCAGCAGGGCTCACTTCAGGTCCCCGGGGAAGCTTTTCAAGACGCTGGGTGTTTCTGGGCTTAAAGCCACTAATGGGTGCCTCTGCTCTGATTAATGGCATATTTTGCTTGTCTGTTTAAGAAGGACACTGGAAAAAGGTATAAGCCAGTGGTCAGAGAACTGTGGTCACCAAAAGCGTGGGATGAGTTGGGTTGCTTCATCTCTTTTTTTACACGTAGTTGAGCAGTAGATGGTGTACAAAGGAAATGACAGCTGAGACGGTGATGCTGTGCTCTGTGGCTTTCAGGAGACCACAGAACTCACATTCAGTACTTTCCACGCCACGACCTTCAATAAGGCTTTTAAAATTTACATGCAAGGAGAGCTAGTTACAAAGGGAGCTGGAAGGTGGAGGGAGTTCCTCCTCCTTTTTGTTTTTTGTTGAAACTGACTGCTCAGTAGGCTTGGAGCAAACAGCAAGGCCATGCCCCCATGTCACAAAAATACCAACTGTTTTTAGGAATTACAGGTTACTGAGCTTTGCCTTAGATTAATTATAGTCCTTGTGTTTCCCATTTTAAATTGATGGCGGGCCAAGATCTGCAACACAGTCCTCTCATGACACTATATCAGGTGCCACGTTTGTAGTAAATATAGTAAATAGTCATTTTAAGACTTTCTATGCTGCATCATTTTATTCTAGAAATGCTTCTTCTCAGCTACTTTTGCTTACAGCATTGAGCATAAAATTTTGTTTTGTGAATAACATTTTTCTTTGATTGCAATGAAAGGACTGAGGACCTCAGAAAATATAGTTTATTCTCACCTTTCCTTGTCTGACGAACATGAATTCTGTTAGGTGCCTGTAGCACCTAACCATTAAATGTACCAACCCATTTAAAAAAAAAAAAAAAACTATTTTTCTTCTTCAGAGAAATGAAATGGTGAGGAAAATAGACAGAGTTCCAATTCTTACTTCCTTTTCTGGGTTCCTAGCTATGCAAACTGGTCTCGTTAAGGGAGAGATTGGCCTACTACATTCCCCTTTCATCCAGCATTTTGTGGAGTATGCAGAGGGCAGATGACAAATACAACAAATACTGAGATAGATCTCGATTTCTTTCAATCATGTTAATTTCTAAGGTGCCACAGGGATCTATGAAACCCAGATAGTACATGTATTAGAACTATAAGGACCCCCAGACGATCTTCTAAAAGCATGGTGTCAAGTCTTGTTGGGGTCCAAGGAACCACAAGAAACACCAGTTAATTGCAGCCTGCTCTCTTGTTACAGTGCAGCCTGCACTAGGCACCATATCCAGTAAGCTATAAATTCTTTGTAAATATCCATCTTTAAGGAATTGATTGAACTGGCTCCCTGAGTAACTGCTTCAGACAATTCTTTGCGACAGCAGACTACTGCTCACTCATGATCAATTTAGCATGCAGAGATATGGGGATCTAAATGCTCTGAGTTGTTTTTAATCATATACATACACTTTAAATAACAGCAGTAGCACTGATAATAGCTGTTGCATTCCTGAACTTCATAACATCCTATAATTTCATCAGCTTTTATAAGCTTTCTGGAGCAGGAAAGCACAGTGTATATAATCTTTTAAACAGAGACTGCACCTTGTTGCAGTGAGACATCCATTATGTGGAAGTTATCACTTTTTCTGTTCCTTTTCCTCGAACAAAAAGGACAATTGTGACTTTGTACCTTTTTTCTTAAAATTAAAATATATATATATCAGCATGCCCCCATCTAATTTATTCCGACAACTTTTATACACGTGATACATCTTCTGTAGAAAAGGGATATTTCTACAGTTGTCTTGCAGGGCCAGTTGATTCACAAAGACCCTGCTCCCTCCTTCACCTGGTCTTGAGAAAAAATGTTACTTACATTCTCATCTTTCTGAGAAACTTTCTTCTTGGTTGAAACTGAAAACGCAGCAGAGTGGTTTCCACTCCTGAGGTGAGGTTATCAGACTGTGCAATTTACCACGTTAACAGTTTGAAGCACTAGCCAAGAAGCTGGCAGTGTAGGCTTGTAGGAGATTGCCTCCTTTGCCTCCACTGAAGGAGACTGAAGTGTCTGAAGAGACAATCCTTGCCTGTGCTGAGGGAGAGGGGACTTTGGGAAATGCGAAGTTGTCTTCCTCCTAGCATGATTTCTTTAGGCTTCTGCAATGCCTACTGACGTGACAGCTCTCATCTGAAACCTCACTGACTCTTCTGTTCTCCCAAGATTGCACGTGACTCCTTGCAGCACCTTTCCTCTTAAACCCTACCAACCATTTCTGTTCCACAAATTACCATTGGCTCTCTGTCACCCCAAACCTGCACTGAGGTATGGCTGCTTGAAAGGGTTTTCAGTCAGCAAAATTTAATCCAATCTGTACTTCTGGGGAGCTTTGGACCCACTCTGAACAGTCAGAACCAAAGTGGGCACCACATTGTCTCTTGGAACACAGCTTTTGTTTTTAAACAAAAAAGGGGTCATCACAGGATGAAATATTATCTGCATTTATATACAGCGCCATGTTTCATGCAGACTTCCTCTGCATATTTCCCATACTCTACTCCATGCTTTGCATTTCTATTGTGGAAGCTCTGGTTCATGTTTTTCCCCACCAGTGGTGTAGAAGGGAAGGAGGAGTCTACATGATCCATCCACCAGTGCGCGTTACTAGAAATGTGTCATGTTTGTGGGCCCTTACTCTCTCAAAGAAAGACATGACAAACAAGCCAAGGAACTTCACGGGGGGTTTTCCACCTCACTTTCCACCCCCTGCTTGCAGAGAAGTTCTGCTTTAGAAGAATAATTTGGTCAAATGTTGAGTTCCTGTTTTCTATTCTGTGGGTCCTCTGAGGGGCTTTGGCACAACACAGCTGTCATTCATGCTCATTTCCTGCTCGTCGTACTAATACCTTTCCGGTTCAATATTCACATTTGCCTAAAGTCATTACTGTATTTGCTAAGTAGTGAATAATGAGGTTGCCAATAGAGCAGCACTTTATTCTTTTCATGAGGAAAATATGTACTGACACTTAGCTAGGAGTCTATTTTGAAATTTTCTGACTATTGATCCATATTCTGAAGTGCACAAGTGCACCTCAGACCTTCTGTCTCTTGACTTGATCATAATTTTTAGTCCTTCATTTACTGTGAATTAAAGGATCGTTTCCAGTAAAACCAAGTAGACCTCTGGAATGTTGCCTAATTTGCTGCAGAGTACTGTAACTGCTGTTTTCAGAAAGACATTTAGACATATATCCTTAAAACAGAGGCTTGGGGCCAAATTCTGACTTTGTTTACACCACAGGAAGTTTGAAGTAGTTATTGTGCTTGCAGTGGACCCCTTTTCTTTCACCATCCACTCCTCATTTTTGATTTGCTGAACATTTGTCAGGAACAGTAACAATTTCCCATGAAAATGTCTCCAGGAAATAGCCAGTGAGTGGCATATCTCATGTGATTTCCCTAGACTGGTTAATGAAAAATCAAGTAAGATAATGCTTGGCCTCTGGTATCTCATGTCCCGAGATCTGTGCTAGTATAGCATCTCTCAGAAACACAGGGAATATTTTCTGGAGCCTACCTAACTCAACTTTCAGCAAAGAGGCTTTTTCCTCATCCTTTCTCATTAGATTCTTATTTCTAAGAAAGAAAATATCTGCTGAGAGAGTGGGAGGAAAAGAGAGAATTGCAGATATGCAGCCAGCTATCACAAAGCACTGAGCCTCAGCCGTACCGTGATGACTTAGCACAGAGCCGTAGCTATATTTGCAAGTGTGAGGTAAATGACTTTGAGAAGGGAAATGGGGTGCCAGTGCAGAGGGCACTGAGAAGTCAATGCACGCATTAGAATTCAAAGCACTCCAGTGTGCTTTCTGTCCCTCAGAGGCGAGGTCACAGATGGCTTGCAAAATGTACCTCAGCCTTTTGAATATGAACTTGGAGCTGCCAGCTGCTGCCCCATTCTGCGCTGCTGGTTGTGGAGGCTGCCTGGTGGAGATCAGACAATCAGACAATATTGCAACGTAAATTGCCTGATAGCCTCCACCACATGCAAGCTGTGAAAAATAAATAAGCAAACGCCAAACCAGCCTCAAAAGCTCTGATATAAAAGTGCAACCACATATTCCTTAAGCTAAATTGTATTAACTATGTGATTTATGAATATGAATGTTAGTAAAGGAAGCCAACTTCTAGGATTATTTTCCTTTTACAAATGCTATTTTAATTACATCTCCCAAGTCCGAGCAACATCTAGAGTAATTACTTTAAAAAAATATGCCAGTTGAGAGTTTGAAAGACTAATGCATACAGGTCCACTTTGGCTTGCTTTTGGGCTGTTGAGCATAGGATTTGTTCTGACAGGGTTTCCAGGTTTTTCTCCAAATGCATGAAAGCTTGAAAAGTTTATAAATGCATCACCTAGCCCAGAAGTTTGGAGGCCCCAAGAGCCAGGAAGTCATCAGCTTAAATTCACAATGCTGCCCATGGATGAAATAGTCATCACCTTTCCAATACAGCTTGCAGAAATAGAAATTCAGTCTCCCTCTTAAAAAGAGGGAGAAAGAAATGGGATGGCAGGTATAAAACAAAGGAAAACAGACTATGTATGTATGACAGGACAGTGGGCTAAGGGAAAGGGTTTGCTCTAAGAGGGGAGCTGTATTGGTGGGGAAAGAAGTGTCCAGAGGGGCAGAAGAGCTTTCCTTATGCCCATCTGTAAAGGAACCAACCGAGCCAAACACCAGTCTGTCTTCTGTAGTCCTGGCAACAGCACAGAGGTAGAAGGATAAAGCTGCCTTAAGTGTAGCTCTGTTGTAGCTTACTTAAATTTGTTGTAGCTTATTAAAATTTGGAGCAGAAACAAAACTAGTTAGTTGCAATCTCTGGGCGTATACAGACCAAGCAGGCTTGGTCTGCCCTCCAACCAGGAGGGCGGATTTGTGAGTTGAAAAGCATTTTGCAGAACACAAACAAAAAGAGGCAGAAAAAAATCCTAATTTTCTTTCTGTGGGCAATAAAATGGGCCACGCAAAGTTGCCTATTTCCTCTGCGGGCCTTGCACTGGCCCTGAGCAGTGTCTGTGTGCATCAGAGGCCTGGCACTGCCTGGTCCCCCAGGTACCTCCCAGGTGCTTCCATCAGTCTGAAACCCCTGGAGTGCCTCACAGGGAGTGCGAGCTACTCTCTGCTCACTTGGTAGGGAAGGGCAGTTGTATCCTGTCCAAACAGACGATATTCTCTGGGTTTGGTTCAAGCTTTAAGAGCAATTTTTGAAAATGTTGAAAAACTGCTGAGCTGGAGTCGTGTAAGGGAATGGGAAGGAGGCAATGTCAAGAGAATACAAAGAAAGCAACTGAACTTTGACATTTACTTTTAGCAGACAAAAGGGAGGCAGGCATTTAAAATCTCCCAGACCTACAAACAAACCTTATTTGTTAGAAATTACTGATAATTTTGAGATCCATAGTTTTAAGGTCATCACTGTGTGTGGATCCAGGTATAAATGCCCTTCTCTTCAACCTTGGCTGTTTAAAGCCTCTGTTCTGTACAATCACAGCCCTTGCACTTTCTTTGATATTTCCTCTTCTTACAGTCTTTCTTCCACCCCCTGCTGCACAAAGGCATGTAGAATCCCAGTTGAAATGAGGAGTAAAACAGAGGTAGGGAGTCATTACTAGCTGGGCTGTAACTGTATTGTGGTGTGGATTCCAAGAGGATTGAGATGGTGCAGCTCGAGCCCATGCTTGCTGCAGTTAGCGAAGTTTAAACCAAACTAGACAGGCAGGCCTGAATGGGCTGAGCCACATAAACAGATTTTCACCATCTTTGTTATTTTTCTAGTAAAAATAAAATGAAGGCAATCTGGGAAAACAAAAACTAAATAGCTG